GGCGCGGCGCCGCTTGTGGAGCAGGCAGAGCACCAGCAGCGCGGCCCCCGCCAGCGAGGAGTTCCGCGCCGTCAAGTACTTGCTGAAGGCCGCCATGGCACCACCAGAGCGAGCGAGCTGGCGACCGCGGAGCTGGCAGCGACTACTTTAGTGCAGGAAGCCAGCGCGAGGGAGACTGGGAGGAGAGGACCGCGCCGGGAGGGGGGTGGAGGGGGCAGAGAGGGAGGGGGCGTGGCCGGAGGCCGGAGGCTCCGCCCCCTGGCGCGCGCCGCTGCGCCAAGCCCACCTCAGGCAGGATCTCTGTCTGCACGGGAGCGCGCGCAAGACGCACTACGCACGCGCGGGCCTCCGCCGCGGGGTCGTGGGTGGAGGGAATGGGGGGGAGGGGGGTCTCCCGGTATCAGGTGCTGCCGCGGAGGCCGGCGGTGGCCACAGGTCCACCCAATCCGGGATGTGTACACACGCCCTGGCTTTCCCAAGAACTGGAAGAGCGGGCCGGGCCTGCGTCCCGGACTCGGAGCCAGCCGCTCTCGGAGCCGGCCGCTCGCCGCCTCCCCGCTGACGGGTCCCCCCACCACCCTCTTAAAGGAGCCGCGCGGGCGTCCGGCCCGTCCTCGGAGCCCACGGTCAGCATTGGCTCCACACCTTCTGCACCTCCGAAGAGTGCCGGGAGAAGACTGCACACCAACTGCTTTTTATTAAGTCAAGGCTTATTTTGTTGTTTTTGTGCCGGTCCAGGGGCTTGAACCCAGAGCCTGGGTGGTGTTGTCCTTGAGCTTTTTTTCCTTCACCACTAGAGCCACAGCTCCTATTCCAAGGGTGTGTGTGTGTGTGTGTGTGTGTGTGTGTGTGTGTGTGAATTGGAGATAAGGGTCTCAGAGACTTTCCTTTCCTGGCTGGCTTTGAACCACCATCCTCTGATCTCATTCTACTGAGTTGCTAGGATTACAGGTGTAATCCCCTGGCAACCCGGCTTAAGTTAAGGTTTTCCAAACCCTAATGGAGGATCTCTCCTGGGATTGTGAAATCGGTTGGGTAACCCAGATCGTGTTCATCGCCTGTATGTGTTTGTTTTGTTTTATAAGAATAGATGGCAATAGAAAAAACTCAGCGTGCATGACATAGTAAAGGAGTTCTTTTGAAAGTTTCTCCGTTGTTTTTTTTTTTCTTCTGAGTAGGTATGTATGGCCGGGTGGTGATACAAAATGTATGCTCGAGCCCAAGTTAGAGAAACACTGCAGTGTTCAAATGGACATTCAGAAGTAACAATCGTGGGTTGTCTTGGTGCTGGCCTCACTCCCAGATTCAGAAGGGCTTTACAGATTACAGCATTCTTCTTTTCCTCCCCAGGAGGCAGAAATTGTGAGCCCTCGCATTTAACCTCATACATCCACACTTAATGAATGGCCATTTTCAGTCGAGGCAAGCAAGTGGCAGAAGTAAGTCCATAAAACTTCACATAACACAAACCCATATTTAAGTTGCCTACCTGCCAAAGGAGCCTGCCTAACAATGAGGCCTTAAGGTGTTTCCTCAGGGTAACTTGTTGGTTGCCTCTTAGGTGTTATGAGCATCATTTAAAAAAAGACACAATGGTCTAGGTTGTGGTTGTGCATAGGTGTGCAATAGTCAATTCTAAGTTATGTAAAAGTGAAGTGTCTCTCAATTCTCCATGCTCTATGTGGGCATTTTTATTACTTATATAACATTTAAGTAATAAGGCATATCTGACAGAAAGGATCAATAATCATTTTTTCTCCAAAGCCTGTTATAGAGAAAAAATGTGAAAAAAATTACAAATGTGCTAAGTACCACCACAGAGATATGAACAGGACACTATGAACACAAGAATAATGCTCACGCCTGTAATCCTAGCAATTTAGGAAGCTGAGATCTGAGGGTCATGGTTCAAAGACAGCCTGGGCAGGACTTTCCTGCCCAGGAAAGTCCATGAGACTCTTATTTCTAGTAAACCACTAGAAATGTGGCACTGTGACTCAAGTAGTAGAGTACTATCCTTGAGCTAAAGAGTGCAGGGACAGCACCCAGGCTCAGAGTTCAAGCCCCACAACAGACAAAAAAAAAAAAAAGAAGAATGCTTAGATTTGTCTAGAGCTGTCAATTAAGGCTTGACAAGATGCCTGTAGCTGAATGTGGAGGACCAAAAAGAGTGGTCACCAGTATAAAGGGAAAGTTGCTAGCGTACTAGTATATTATAAAGTGATAATGATGGTAAAGGTATTGGGAAACTGAGAAGGAAATGACAAGGCCATCTTAGTTTGTCACAATGAAGAAAGTGATCAAAACCATATCTATTGGAGGGGGGACCAAGATGGCGACGGGGCAGTAGGGAAACGCCACAGCTCT